TCAGAGCTGAGGATTGTTCTGCTGGGAGGGAGGTGGACTGGGAAAAGTTCAGCAGGAAACACCATCCTGGGGAGAGAAGAGTTTGTCACTGAGGGAAGAACTGTACAGTGTGTGAAGAGACAGAGGGAAGTGGCTGGGAGGCAGGTCACTGTGGTCAATGACGTCAAATCTAATGAAACATTTGCGGGCACACGGAATAAACTTAAAAGCAGAGGGATGCACCGTGTTTGACAGCTTGCGGACAACAGCTGGAACTATCGGTGTGGAAGCGGTTTAGTTATTGTAGTTGGGTTAGGTGGCTTATGTTTTGTTGTTGTTGTTTTTTGTATTTACTTATATATTCATATATACTTTAAACTTTTAATATATTGTTCAATTTTAAGCATTCAATTTTTTGTTCAATAAAAATGTATTCTTTAGTCACCCACCATCATTTTGTGGCTTTCGTAAAGTATTCGTTCAGGCACCGTTTTGGCACCGGTACTGTTTTAAAAGTATCGATTTGGCACCGGTATCGAAAATACCCCAAACGATACCCAACCCTAGTCGTTGCCATGTTGTTTGTGAATCTGCTACAGTGTTTGGGTGCGCCGTGCTAATTTACCCGTGAAGAACGGTACCTCGCATTAGTTCCGCTAATTGTGTTCCAGATCTTTTCAAGCCCCCTTTGAATCATCCCACAATAGGCAGATGTACCCTGCTACTAAGGTGAACCAATAGAGGTGGAGAATTATGTGTATTATACATTTCAACTTGATTTGTTGGTGTTTTGTGACCAATCAGGACTTAGACGTCCTTATAGGGAATTGGGTGTTATGGTTTATCAACTGGTTGCTCGGGGTACCTGGTGCCAGAGTGTGTCTGGAGCGCCTTGCTGGATTGCTTGAATAAAGGAGAAAACTTTGCTCACCAACTGCGAGGTCCAGAGTTTTATTCTATTGGCTTAATTAGAGTTATTAGAGAGGTTGATTTATAATTTTTCTTCCACAATGTCTTTCATTTGCAGGTAACCAGAGGCTCTTCACTGATCCTGAAGAAGCTCTGCAGGCAATCGGCACCTTCACCTCCACCGGGATTTGGCCACTTTGCTGTCCTTATTTGATCTGTGTTTTTGTACGTTTCAGCTGTGACACCTTCCCTTTCTCTCCATGAAAGCTGAGGCGGCTAATCCTGTACTGGGTCCAATCATGTCTTATGCCGTGCAGATCTTCCATTGCATTGAAAAGCACATCGACTCCATGCTGGCATTCCAGCGCACCAATATTTCTTAATAGACCGCTCAACATTGGTGGTCAACCCATCACAAACTCCCGGTGTATTTCGTCAGGAGTCTGTACACTGGGTGATCTATTTGACGATTCTGACCTCGTGTTCCAGATTCAGCTCTAAATTCCCTATCCCTCTCTCTTCCATTTATTTGTATCTGCAACTGTGATCTGTTCTTAGAATGTGTGGGATAACTTTCTCTGCTCCCCCGTCCCCTTTGTAAATTTGTGGCTTCCTTGCCCAAGTCCAATAAACCAGTTACCACATTGTATGCGCTTTTGGATGATGCTGTTGTCCGTAAATGGGGTGAGGATATCCCTTCTTCCTCTCCTTTTGTGCTGGAACACTATTTTTAAAAATGTTAAGTGCGCTCTTAGAAATCCCAATCACCCACACGTTCAATTTCGATTTGTGCACAGGATGTACTGAACGCTGCGATTAGGTTTTGCTTTGGCACTTGATCCCCTTTGTAAATAGCACCCACTTAAAGCCCTTGGTACCTTTCTCCACACGTCCTGGGAATGCCCACCTGTGCCACTCTCTGACCTGCAATCCCCTCCTTTCTTTCTGATCTGCTAGGTGTGACTGTCCCCTGTTCTCCTCAATCACTGCTCCTCTTGGATTTCTCTCTCCTTTCCTTTTCCCTTCTCAGCCACAGGTGATTTCTCTGTTGCTGCAAAACTGATGTTGGTCTTAAGCAGGAAAGACCAGGCCGCTGCACTTTCGTAGTTTAGAGGGCTTCCTATTATAACCTGATCATGGTGGAGCTACTGCTGTATGAATAATTGCTGCCTCTGACATCACTATAAAAAACTGGGTGTGCACTGCTTCACTGGCTACAAGGGTACAGCGAGGGGAGCACATCACATACTGTGTTTGGTTAAATTTTGGTGTATATACTGTATATATACACACACACACACACACACACACACACACACACACTTTATCAGTATTTCCTTTGCTTCCTTTTCTGTCCTGGGCTGAGGGGAGGGGTGGTCGCTGGTGGGGTTTTGGTTCTCTCTCTTATTTTTCCTGTTTTGTTTGTTCGACTGTCTATATGTTACTTCGTATACATCTTACTGAAATTCTCAATAAAAAATTGATTGTAAAAAAGTAAGACCCAGGTTGTCCTCTTTCCATTGTACATTGAGTGATCTGCGGTGGACAGAGTTAGAAGCACCAAATTTCTCTGAATGCACTTTGCAGACGACCTCACCCTGTCTCTCAAGGCCTTTACCCAGATCAAGAAGGCACGACTGCTTCCACTTCCTGAGGCTGCGGAGGACTGCAAGACTTCCAGTGCGGATGCACAGTGTGCAGTGAGAAGTTTCCGCTACCAAAACTGAAAGTAGTCACGACCAAAAGAACCGTGTATTAAAATGTGCTACAGGATTCCCGTTAGTTATACTCATTTGTTTTATTTCTTTTCATTTCACTATTTGTCGATTTTGCTTCCAGTCTTTGTACTTTAGTTCCATTTTTTCATCTTGGCTCCAGAATTCTAGTTAAGTTCTGTTTCCGGTTTACGAACGTCTCTTTTGGCGCTTTCATCTCGGATTCCACTCAGTTTCGTCGATCTCTCTGTTCCAGGCTTCTCTCAGGTATTAACCGCCATCAGATCTGAGAACGATATTGAGCTTAATCTATACGAAGGAACAACTCTAACAAGTTAGATATTTTCCAAAAAACTGAATTTTGAAATTACAACCAGAATTGTAATTGCTATCTTTTAACATTATTATAAGTATAGTGTAATTAAACTGGGGATGAAATTTGTATTTCTGATCAACAGGAAAATGAGGTTAAAGTACAGAGTGCCAGCTTTATTTCTGGATAGTTCTGAACTATACTGGAAGAGACATATTAATTTGAAGGTGATTCGAGTAACCGGATACAGCGTTTTAATATGTGTTAGAAGTAAAAACAAATATTGAGGTTGGGGGGGGGGTCTCCGGGGGTTGCTCGGGGGAAACACACAAAGGTTCCACTTTCAATGCATTTGTTCAGTACGTATGTGTACCAAACCAAAAGACTCATACTGAAAATTTTCGTTACGAATACGTGTATTGTTACACTCCAAGGTCTTAGTACCGAGAAACATGCATAGTTATGGAAGCTTTCGAGAAGCAGCTGTTTCAGGAGGTACAGTACACGCATACAGGTACCCCCTTCATTACAAACCTCCGCTTTACCCCACTTCGCTTTTACGAAAGACCTACAACTGCGACAGTTTTCACTAGCCAAATGAAATCTGAAGAGGATTTTCGCTTTTACGAAAAATTAAGAAAAATGAGAATAGTGTTTAGCATCAGTTTATCAGTGAGCCAGTCATGCTCCACATAACGATATTTCGGTCAACGACGGACTGCATATACAGCAGTAGTCCCATAAGATTATAATGGAACTGAAAAATTCTTAATCCCTTAGTGACGTTGTGTTGTAGCTTTTATGTGTTATTTGCTATGATTTGGTAGGTTATTTTTTCGTCTGGGAACCGTCAATGTTTATTTCCATATAAATTAATATAATTGCTTCTTTGTTTTTCTCCATTTCCGGTTATGAAAGGTTTCATAGAAAGAATCTAGTCTTTAATAACTGGGGAAACCTGTACATATAACTCACTATTAAAGGAGCAGAAAAGTCCAGGGGTTGGACAATGAAATGGAAACACCTAGTTTTAGACCACAGTAGTTTATTAGTATGGAGTAGGGCCTCCTTTTCTGGTCAATACAGCATCAGTTTGTCTTGGGAATGACCGATACAAGTCCTGCACAGTGGCCAGAGGGATTTTGAGCCATTCCTTTAGCAGACCAGTGGCCAGGTCACTACGTGATGCTGGTGGAGGAAAACGTTTCCTGACTCACTCCTCCAATGCGCCCCAAAGTGGCTCAGTGATATTCAGATCTTGTGACTGCAGGCCATGGTAGATGTTCAACTTCACGTTCATGTTCATCAAACCACTCTGTCACCAGTGTTGCTGTTTGTATTGGTGCATTATCAGCCTGATACGCAGTGTTTGAACCATTGGGTGAACATGGTCCTCCAGAATGGTTTGGTAGTCCTTGGCAGTGATATGCCCATCAATAACAAGCAGTCGGCCTGGGGAATGCCATGATACTGCAGCCCAAAGCCATCACTGATCCACCCCTGTGCTGTACTCTGGGTACCCAGCAGTCTGAGTGGTAAGCCTCCTTGGGGCTTCTCCACACTGTAACTCTCCCAGATGTGGGAAATACAGTGAAGGTGGAATCATGAAAGATCAATACATGTTTCACATTGTCCACAGTCCAAGATTTGCACTGCTTGCACCATAGAAACCAACATTTGCCATTGCCATGAGTGACCAATGGTTTGGCTATAGCAGCCAAACCATGTATATTGACCCTGTGGAGCTCCCGATGAACAGTTTTGGTGGAAACAGGAGAGCTGAGGTGTGCATTTAATTCTGCAGTAGGTTGGGCAGCTATGGTTTTATGTGTTTTGGATACAATCCAGGTTAGTGCCTGGATGTCCCTTTCAGACAGCTTCCTCTTTCATCCACAGTTACTAATGTTGGTCTGTCCTTCATGGTGGTATGCAGACGTTACCCTGGATACCGTGGCTTTCGATAGACCTCAAAGACTTCCTGTCCTGGTCACAGATGTCCCCACAAGTTTTCTGAGACACTTTGGAGATGCCTTGTCATGCTCTGACTTTTCTAGATATTAGTAGCACAAAACATAATGATTCGGTGTGACCTTGGTTTTTGTTTTCTGCACAAACAGCTACAGTAGAACAATATAGTAGCAGTATTTTGCCAAGATTTTATTTTCCTTTTATGTTTTTTTTAGATTAGATACATTTAGCAAAAACTGATTTTCAAAACTTGCTAGAATAATGTCAAAGATCATAAATTGGTCAATATCCTTGCTGAAGAAAGTAGTTATGGTGAATAATGTGAGCGATTCCACCATGATGGTTCATTTGCCCCCAGAAACAGTTTTCCGTCACGCATTACGTCAGACTTAACAAGCAGGTACATTCTCCACATGTGAGTACCTGAGTGAGGGCGGGGCTGCTAACAGCAGAGTATTGGAGTCTGGAGCAGACAGTGAAGGATAAGAAAAAGGCTTCCCACAAAATTCAAAATGAACTTTATTTAAAAACTTCAAAACTTTATTTAACATAATATAAATGATACTGCCTCAATCAACATCATGCTTTGTTCAAATCCTGATATGTTTTAAAATCTTGATATACTGCTGAGCTGTAGTATATTACTAACAAATTAGCAAGTGGAGTAATTTGCTAACTTAGCCTTACTGTGAATTAGGTGGGCATATGTCGTTCATTCTTGAAAGAGTACTATATGATTGGTTAGAACTGAGTTTGTTTCTGTGATGTGAAAAGCTGATTTGTGCTATTGAGCAATGCCCCTAATCAACAGTTCATTGAAATTTTCTTATTGTTTAAAATTTGTATGACATCAAATCATGTATATTGTCCAGTCCTACTTTGGATGCATTTAATTACCTTATTATACCAAAAAATGAAACCCACCTAACTATAAAATAATGCCTCATTTTTAACAATTCTTATGTCCATGATCTTGTTTACGGTTGCAAAAGTAAGTAGTGTTACTGAACACCATTGCATGTATCCTGAATGTCATAATTTAAGGTTATATGGTTTTATACATGTTTCTGATTTCCAGTATTTTACATCGGGACAGAAGAAAGAATGGATTGAAGAAAGAAATGGCTTCTTCCAAAGATGGTAAGTTCAGGCTCTCATTGATTGAGTCAAATTGCATCAGATCATAAATCCATGATGGAGCCAGTGGCACAAAAACAAAAAGTTATACCATGCGTATTGTAACTATTGACACAATAGAGGACAAGTTATTAATTTCCCAATTATTTTACTAAAGTGCTCAGTTCTGTTCCAGGATCTGAATGTGTGGAGTATCCTTCAATCTGCATGGTTTTCCAGGTGCTCTGCATTGCTTCCACAGTCCAACAGCATGTAATTAAATGACTCTGGTGTGAGTTTGTGCCCTGTAATGGACTGTAATCCTCACACCTGGGTTTGAAAAGCTGAGCTAAAGGTCATACACACCGGCCCTTTGGTGGATAAGATTGCCCACCCCTGGTTTAGAGACACCAGTTTACTAAGGTTATATGTTCTTGGAAATTACGGTATTGGGAAATTGTCCTCACAAGCACTGGGAGAGCATTTAAACACCACACACAGACCAAGGGGAAAAACTCAAAGCCCGACCCTAGATGCAAAATGCTGGTGGTTTGGGGGAGAAGTTGGTTAATTTTTTAATGAGCCTGATCCACCGCAGTCAGCTTCCACCTTCCAACAAAATAAATGAATGTTGTACCATTTATATTATATTGAATTTATTCAAATATGCAAGTTGATAAAAGTTTTAGTGTTGAGATCCATTCTGATGGATGCCGTTCATTAAAATTGTGGCATCAACTAATGAGTTTCTGAATGTGTTTTTTGACACAGATCAAATACAAGATCTCTCAGAGCTGAGGATTGTTCTGCTGGGAGGGAGGTGGACTGGGAAAAGTT